TTACCTAAGCTGGTCGAACGTTTCGTTTTGGGTCTATACCCTAGCTGCACTGATGAGGCCTGGAAGGCCGAAACGGATCCGTCTGCAGATATTGGGATTCCTTCCAGTGGATGCTTAGTTTATTTTGTCATTCTGATCGGATTTTCTCTACTGTTCCGTTTTAGTTTTAAATAGTTTTGCATTATGTGGCCGTTTGCTGTTTTATGGGTTTTCCCATTTGCCTTTTAAAATTTATATACATATATACATATACATATATTTATTTTGTTTGTTTTTGCATGAATTTGTAAACATAAATTTAACAATGCTGATATTCAACTTCAATAATCTTCAAGGTCGTCTCTGATTTAAAGAGAATACTTGGCAGTGAAACATTTGCCAATATGAAACACATGGTTCAGCTGCTCCCTGAAGCTGTAGGTGAAACTAAGGTAAATGTGGTAGCGACATATTTGAAGTGTAAGAATTATCCTTTTTAATTTCATATATAATTATTCTTTTCATTCTGAGTCTGACCTCAACTATATAAAATTGCCTACTATTTCAGACATAAAATTATGATCCCCAACTAAATGTAGGGTGTGTGGCTGGTACTTACAGGTATTAAACCTTACATTGATGTGTCTGTAGAATGCAGCATATTTCATAAATTTTTTTTCCTGTTTTAAATGGTCAGGAAAGTATGTGAAACCGTAATAAATTGAAACATTTTTCAGGGTTTGAAATGGGCACCCATTTTTTTGGTGGAAGCCTCCCTATCCCTAGCCAAAGGGTTTTAGCAAAAGTGGTTGTACAATACAAAATACAGTGTCCATGTTGCATATGGATGTGTCCATGTTGCATATGGATATTCCATGTTTGACACCCTTACATAAATGTTAACTATAAACAAAAAAGGAAAAATGTATATAATTGCAAAGACTAGAATGTGTTGGCATATTTACATTGCGATCAAGTACAATCCTGGAGACTTGGGAGCTCCGCAAAATGTTGTTTGTTATTTTTACAATTTTTAAATTGTTTATACAATTGATACAATTCCCAATTAATAGATTATGGTGATTTATATATATCAAACTCTATATATCATATTTTTTCCAGTGTATCTTCATAATTTGTTTTTGATGTTTAACTTCTGTTACCTAAAACTGAATTTAATAAGAAGTTTTTCATATAGAGGAGTTGTTTCTATGGTATGCTCTTCCTAGTCAACTAAACAAATCTTACAATATTACACATTTAAGAAATAAAATTATCTCAAATGATTACCTGGTTCACTAATATTTTATTGATTCAGTTATTTTGATGGTGGAAATTAAGGAGATTATTTTTACAGTTAACTTGTAAATTATGGTGATTTTCTTGTTTTACTATTTAACAGATAAATTTTAGTGTCTTTTTGTATTTATATCAATGTACTACTTTAATATTCAAATTGTATTTTAACATGGCTCCAGGGAAGAACAGCCATTTTGGCTGAACTGGGCCACATGTGTCTAAATAAAGTTATTATTATTATTGTATTATTATATTCCCTATATTTCATTTACCATGTTGATATGGATGTATGTTTTTTTGATTGGAATAGTTTTAACCATTTAAGTACTTCTTTTCCAGATGATTGAAACCATCAAGATGATAGAAAAAATGACTGGGTTTGAAAGAGGCAAAGGCAAGAAAACTAAGTCGATCATTGATCTTGTGCCACAAGAAGAAATAAGCAGTGCATTATGGAGCAAAGAATTAGACCCACCCCATTTAGTGGTGTTTGTAAACGATACAACTATTAAATGAGGATCCCCAGTGCTTTGTGGTGGGTGACACAATCACTATTTCCTGTTAGGGTGGTGTTGCTGCTGCTCTGATACAGCTTATTGCTGTATACTATGTTTTCCAGCTTTGAGTATCCAAGGGTATACAGTCAGGTTTTGGGTCTTTTACAGACATTATTGACAGGTGAGCCATATTGTGGTTTGATGTCATCAAAGTATAAGAAGTTTGCACCTATTATTAAGGCAGCAATGAAAGCAGCAGTACAGAAGAAAAATGATAAATAAGTTATTGTATTGTAGTTCAACTATTCCACTATTTTTATGGCATGGATACCCATAAAATGTTGAATACAAGACCCAATGTAATTAGGTCTTTTATTCCATGTGTATAAATATTTATGGTTATCCATTAATGTTGAATAAACATTTTATATTTTTAATGAAAATAATGTGGAAGTGTCTAAGATTACTTTCTAAACAAAACGTTTTTGGGGGTGTCATTTTATCTTTTATTTCATATATTTATGGCTATCCACAAATATTTATTGATATTCATGAATATTTATGGCTATCCATAAATGTTGAATAAAAGACCAAATGACACCCAATACTTTTCTTTATCAACCAGTTATCTGATTGAAATGTTAACATAGTTATATATTGAAATTTTGCATTTTTTATAAAAAATAATGTTGAGAAAGTGTTTAAGAATAATTTGTAAACATTACATTTCTATAAATACAGTACTGTGTTTATCACAGGTGTTAATCAAACTATTTGAAATTTTGCATTTTTTATAAAAAATAATGCTTAGAAAGTGTCTAAGAATATTTGTAAACGTTACATTTCTATAAGGGTCATTCCGTGCAACTCAACAAATTTTCAGAAAATCATGGCTGGGTACCGTCTCAGATTTTCTTGAAACTCGGATATAATGTGCATCAACATGTCTGACGAACAAACCCAAAATTTGACTTGCCAATTCCAAGTCGTTTAGAAGTTACGGCCATTTGAAATTTTAGGGTCATACCCCTTTTTAGCTATCAATTATGACATATTTGTAAAGTTGCATTTTCAATTAACCATATCTTCAAATAGAATAAAGATAATTAACTGAAAATTTATATCTAGACTAACTTTTGACTGTAGAACAGGAATATGACATGACTTGGTATACCGGACCCTGTTACGAAAATATTGGTTCATAAACACCCAAACTTATATGGTTGCATAATTTTTCTTCCATTTTTAGACCCCATTAAAATACCCAAATCAGTTATTTAATGGGTCTTATGCAACAAATTATTAATATATAGTTGGAAATGTTTCACCACAAAAAATTCCGGATTTTTAATTTATCATTTTAGGGGGTAATCATAGGTCAAAAGGTCATTCAGGACAAAAAATGCACAAAAATGCCTCGTTTTCAGGGTGACCTTTGACCCTGTGGGCAAGTACGCTTGTTGATAAAACTTGCACCATTAATTAATTTATATATGATAATCAGATGTTCCAAATATCAGCTTGGTGTCTTTATCCCATCATGTTTAAAAAGCGATTTGAAAAGGGGTATATTTTTCAATTTGTGACAGAATCAGTGCGTAAAACTGACAAAATTAATTTTTGAATAACGATAATATTAAAAATAATCTGCCTAGACCCTTGAAACTTATAATTCTAAAACAACTTTATGTGCTTATTTCAGGCATGCAGTTCGTTAAGGGATATAGTGTTTCATTAGTAAGATATGTAAGGTTATCAAAAATAAAATGTTGGCTACATTAGGATAAACTACGGTTTGTTTATAGGGACGGAGTTCTTCACACATTTACCTCGGATGAACAGATTGAACACCTTTTTTTGCCAGCTGACACAAGTGCTAGTCAGTCAAACTAGTGTAGTGATATGCTATAATTTCATTAATAAAACATAAACGTTATTATCTTTCATATAAGAAAAAAGGGAAAAAATATTTTCCCCCATTCTTTTAATAAGAAAAACATGTTCGTTTATATGGTATTGTTTGTCTTTACCCATTAATAAATATATTTAAAAAATTATTTCGTGCATATTGTTTTTGTTTAAATCTTATTTTATATTTTTGTATGTGATAAATTTCTGCCATACGTTCTTCATATTTATATAATTAATGGATAGCGATCACGAATATTTTGTTTATACGCACATTGACTGCCTTCAAACCCATATCACTTCTTCAGAATTCTCAAATAAATATTGTAAATTAATCTTTCTCTGTCCTGAACGTTAATATTCGTTCTATTAATAAACATTTTGACATGCTTGACTTTGTTCTTGATACTATTGGAGAGTTGAAAGTCATTGGTGTTACTGAAATATGGGACGTAAAAAATCCGAACATTTTTAATCTAGATTCGTATTCCTATGAATACAAATGCAGAGGATTCGGTAGGAGTGGGGGTATAGCTGCATACATACATTCATCTGTAAACTATAAATTACTGAAATATTCTGCAGTTCCCTCTAAATCTCTTTGGATAGAGGTTTGTGATGGAACAAATACTTATATTATAGGAATTATTTATAGAAAGTGTGACTCGAATTTTATTGAATTTCATAACAGTTTATTAGACATATTATCCAAAATTAAATGTGATAAATTTGAGTATATTCTATTAGGGAATTTTAACATTTACTGTGAGGATGATCTTAATCTACGTGTAGAGCATCACATTGTAAATAATTGTCTGATATAACTTGGACACTCAGTGAGAATACTTTGCTTTGTGGAAATGCCACCTTAAATGCAAATAACAGTATCAACAGTATATGAATAAATATATAAATAAAAACAAGAAAATAAATATCTGCATTCCAGATTTTGCCATGAAAAATATCTGTCGATCATCCATCCGTCTTTGGAAGAAAGCATATTTTAAAATCTAGTTATGGTTAAAGGTAAAGCTTTTTAGTTGGACACCATCCTGGTATCCCGCTAAGATTTCAGGGATGTGGTTATGGCTGACCATGGATATACCTCTATAGGCTGACAAATAAAACAAAAACTTTAGTCTATAATGAAGATTTGGTCAACTAAAATACTGAAATAAACTTGTAATCAAGAAAATGTTTGTCAAAAGATATAAGATAAATATAATTTGATATTTTTTGTATATACATGCAGTTACAATATTGATGATGAAAAAAAACCCAATATATTAATAAGATAAATGGATCTAGTCTTTTAGTACGTGGCCATTTTGAATTTAAAATGGCGGCCATAGCAGGCGTCATTTAATCTACACATATCAAAGATATTTTGTGTCAACTTTGATACTTTGGAAATAAGATGCTCAACTGGGTTTTCCTTAACTGCTCTAGTAATCTTTACGTTCATCAAAACGTTTCCAATTATTTTGTTTAATAAGAAATCTTTGGAAATCGCTGCATCCGTCCCTGCCTCAATCCAAAGGGGACCTCCTAATGTACGAACACTACAACAGAGCCTTAGCACTACTGTCCTGTTAAGCAAGGGCGTCGATCCGTGGCTGAAAGTCGGGGGTGGGGGGAAACGAGATGAAAAATAAAGCCTTGGGCGGTAGGCCCAAGCAATGGTTGGGGACCAGGGGGCGAAGCCCCGGAAGCTCTGGCGCATATAGCCTTTTAATTGATTTTAAGCAATGCAATTAACATTTATTTCCATACATTTTTAAAATATCCAGTGGCGGATCCAGTAATTTGAAATAGAGCTGGGCCCATATAGGGACTTCTACAGATGGAGAGTGTAGCTGGACTATCACCTCAGCTTCACCATGGTTGGGGCTGAGGTAAGAAAATGTATGATTATGGCACCTCCAGTTGGTCGGAAATGGCACTCTCAGACTGAATTTGAATATAATTTTAATTTTTCTCCACTTTTAAATTTCGAAAAAAAATAGTGATGGTGGGCCGGCTGGGTCCCTTGAATCTGCCACTGAAATACTCATCATAAAAAGTTTTTAAATTATATTTCGTGCAAACTAACATTCATAAAAATAATGATTTATTATCTACTGATTAGCTTGTAACATATTTAAAATTCGAACTATGAAAAACAAAAAAGATAAACTTAAAACAGTCATTAATTTAGTCTTTTTGCATGTACAGTATCTTTAAAGTCAATCAAGAGGTTTTTGCTTTTCTCCTCTTTTTGAATTTCACTTTTGTACGTGTAAGTAGGCCTAATATTGGTTGGGGCTGAGGAAAGAAAATTTATGATTATGACACCTCTAGATTGCCGGAAATGGCACTCTCAGACTCTAATTTTCCTTTGTTGTTTTTCCATTTTTTAAAAAATAATTTTGAAAAAATTAGGGCCGGCTCGGCCCCACTTGAATCTGCCACTGATTATTATGGCGTCATTGCGAGTGAGTTTGTAAACTTTTGGTAGGCTTATCACTTAATCGAAATAGGTAGACATCATATCCGTGAAATTAGAAAAAAGAGTAATCCTATGTATGTAGACTAGTATATACGTACGGGTGATAATAATATACAAAAAGAATAAATCGTTTATATTAGAAGTTGTACACTTTTGAGTTTGTAAAAATATTCGCCTAATAAGGATACATGCTTCCAATTTCAACAACGTTCAGTACATTGTTTTCACAATAAATTTAGCCTCTGATAGTCGTTGCACCCATAAAATCGATCTAGTGGGTTTCTGAGATGGTTACAAACTGTTTAAACCAGGGAGTTGTTATTTAGATAAACAATTGCGTTTTTACTTAGTTTTGGTCCGGAAAATACGTACCGCACTTAGAAAGGTGAACAGACAAAATTCATGAATCATGCGTAATTGTTATTCTTTCCATTCGCTTGTGTGATTGGTGAAAAGTGTGGGGACAATCGATATGATGTTTCCCCTCCCCCACTTTGAAAAGTGGGGGGACGCGTCTCCCCCACCCCCAATCGACGTCCATGCTGGTAAGGCCACCAAAAACTAAGTAAAAT